ACGTCGTTGGCGGGCCGGCATCGCTGCGCGGCCTCCTCTCGCTGCTGCGCGAAAAGGTGGCGAGCGACAGCAACCAACGCAAGCACCCGTGGCCAGAGGGCGGCGCCATCGACCACCGGCGACCGCCACCGAGCGCGAAGAGACGGCGAACCAACGCTGGCGCGCGGGCGAGAGCACCCGACAGACCACAGCGCTGAGTCGCCGCCACGCACATTGGTCGAATGTAAATGAAAAGCACATATCACTGTGCGAATTTGATGTAGAACTAAAACTAAGCAACGGTGGTCTCCTTGAGGCATCGGACGCAGTGGCAGACGAAGTTGTACTCGAGGAGGTCGGCCTGGCGTTCGGCCAGCGGTCGGTCGTTCTCGATGTAGCTGTGGGTCAGCTCCTCGTCCTCGGCAATGTCGCACAGTGCCACCACCACCGCCTCCCGATTACGCCCGAACTTGACTTGTGTATTGGGCTCGCACGAATGCTGTGTTGCGTGGTAGGTACAGTTCCGGTCAGTTCACCGAAAGTGGGTGGGCGTGTATGTATGGGTGTGGGTGTGTGTTGCGTGTTGCGTGTTGCGTGTTGCGTGTTGCGTGTTGCGTGTTGCGTGTTGCGTGGCGAAAGGGTGCGTACGTTCATCATGGCCGCAATGGGGAAGAGTCCGAAGCCCTCAAACGGAGGGAACAGCTCCACCGGCTTGTCGTCATCTTCCTCTTCGGCCGTCTCTGCTTCACTGTCCGACCCCCGCTCCGCCTTGCTCTTGCCCTTGCCCTTCCTGTCTCCCTCGTCCTCTTCGCTGTCTTCGTGGTGCTTCGCTTTGGCCTTCTTGTCGTGGGCGTGATGGTGGCCCGAACCGCCGTCGGCGTCTTCGTCCTCCTCGTTGTCGTCATCGCATTCATCGTCATCGTCCTGCATCTGTTCGACCAGCGTGAGCAGCTCCGACATGGCGTTCAGCCTCTCCCAAGTGTTCTGCGTCGTGTGCGCATCGGTGAACGACGGCAGCTCGCCGTTACCCAGCTCGCCCAGAGCCGTTTCTTGCGC